AAGTGCCTGTGTAAAGGAAACCAGCTTATTAAAATGCATGAGGTTTAGCCGGCCAGGCTGTCACCAATGATGGGAGTAATTTTATCTGCAGTCCATACCACATTCTCTTAGATGTACCAAAGCGATGTTTGAGTTTAATGGGTGTGGAAATGATTTTTTTAAATGTCCCCGCCCCCCCCGTCCCATTTCTCTCAGGCAGCCTTTCCCCCAGCCAGCCTCTGGACACCTACTTTGAGTCCTTACATCTGCCCTTCCAGCCAGTCGCCAGCCCACACCCTGACAGTCAAGTACAACTGCTTGTCCCTCAGAGCGGCTCCTCCTCCTCCATGACAGCTGTAGTCCCATTTCGTTATCTCTGTCATGTCACCAGAAATGTGAAACTTTTCTCTCCCTTCTGAGCTCTACATTGCCTACTTTTAATCTTGATTCATTTTCCTCCCACATTCCTACCCCAGAGACTTTTCAGAAAGTGAGAAAGCTATTAGAGATCCGGGAATAAATGTATCAGTCCCCACGCCAGTGAAATCTTAGTTCCAACACACAGCTGACTGGAAAAGGGAGAAAGAAAGATATTACAAAAGGCCACAAAAATGACTTTACAGGAAATTTTATGCTTTACGTGGATTCCTTTGATGGTCATTTGGCTATTTATTATAACAAAGGCTATAAGAAAATTAATGATGGGGAAAGAACTCCGTCATTGTTCAGCAGAACTGAATAGAAGTGGGATGTGTGCCGAGACTTAAGGAGGAAACCGACATTAGAATTTGAATCTGGAGATCGCTGGGGACTTGCCCTGAAATGGGGCATCCGGATCATGCCCACTTCCCTGCTCGCTCCCTGGCTGCCCTGAGGTAAGCATGCTGTTCTCCACCCTGTTCTTCCTCAGGCCTGAAGACAACTGGGCCGAGCGGCCAAACTGCAACCGCTGAGACAGTGAGCCAAAGTGAAGTAACACTGTCCTTCATTCAGGTCGATTCCTCTCAGGTTTTGGAAAAGCAACACAGAGTTGAGGAGTCAGAACAGCTGTCCAGGGTGTGGGGCACAGGGAGGAACCAGTGTCTGCACCGGAGCGACCCCTCCTCAGGCCCACGGCCCTCGGCACAGCCTGAAGAATCCAGACTCCTTCAGAACAGAGCCAGGAGCCAGGCCTGGAGCTTGCAGCCCCTGCCAGAGTTTCTGCCTGGTCCCCTCAGGATCCCAGGGTGTCTCAGCCCCGATCCTATTTGGTCTTGGGGAATCGCTGCTTTCTCTATAATCTCATTGGTGTCAGGAATCACAGTGGAGAACCTGTGAATCCTGGACATGTAAGAGAAGAGAGTATCAGGTGCAAGACTGTTCTTTTTCCTCCTAGAAACAGAGAGCTACTGGGCATCCAAGGGAGGAATTCTAAAACTATGAAATAAAACCCACTTTCTTTCTCCACAAGCAGGGAGGGAAACTGAAATCCAGGACTTTCAAAAATTTCATTCATTTTGTCAAAGTGAATGTTGGCTGTCTCTGACAGCGAGACCAGAAGCAGGTTCACATAGGGATGTTTCCTTTTCCTTTTCTTTTTGTGGGGGAGAGTACTGTGGACTGAACCCAGAGTCTGTGCCCTGAGCTCCACCCCCAGCTTCCTTTTCATTTGTACTTCTTTCATCTTTTGAGATGAGCTTTCCCTGGGCTAGAAGTGAGATCCTCCTGCTTCAGCTTCCCAAAGTGCTGAAATCACACAGGTGTGCCACCACACTTAGCTGAGATAATTTCAGATGCAGTGGCTTTTGCCAGGTACAGCTGATTTTCTGAAAGTGTGCACTCTATTTTTGCGGGGAGGGCATCTTTTTGCAGCAATAACATGAGAAGAAAATTCTAATTCTTGAACCATACCAACACACATATTTTATAAAATGAATTTGACAAAAAAAGTAAAAGAATCATATACCTGGTATTTTTAAAAGGATGCAGTATAATAGTGGTGGAAGCTCCAGACAATTACAATGGACACATTTGTATTTTCTGCATAGTTTGCTGTGATTTCCAAGTAACCAGGGAAATCAGGTGTGTGTCCAGTACAGCAAGGGTACTCAAGGGCATTCTGTGAGCCTTGCCCTGAGTGGGTGACTGCTTTCGTGCCAAAGTGGGAGCCAGGATGGCTCTGAGGAGAGAGTCATTGCTGAATTAATGTGAAGCTCACCACCCCATGATGTGATGTTTGTATTGAACCCTATACGAGGTGGACATTCACTGGGGCCAGTGTGGAAACCACACCACAGAGAAAGATGTGCCCGGTGGAACCTCAGCCATCTTCTGTCTTTTCCTAAGCTGTCGGCTCCTTCTTGGTTGTCCTGTCCTTGGGGGATACTGTACATGTACACACACAAACACAAATATCCATCTGTATTCAAATATGTTTTCTGATGTAAAAATTTGCATGTTTATTTTATCATTGTTTGGAAAGTGCAAAAGCACACACAGAAGAAAACCTGGCTTATGATCCCATTAATTTATGAGAAACTATTCTCTTTTTAGGATTTTTAAGCCTTTTTGAAACTTCCTATTCTGATTTTACCCAATAAAGCATATTTAAGAGTCATTTACTGAGTATATCATGTCCACTAGTAAGTATTAAACATAATTTTCAGGTACATTTTCTTAACATTGTGCATTTAGATTTTTCTGATTTTGATAATTATACAAAAATATTGTTATTGGATCCACAAAATTTCCAGGAATTCATAAGGTAGAATTAATAGTTTGAAAGGCATGGCCATTTTGAAGGTCATTATTAGCAAAAATCTCAAAGACTTTGTATGTATTCAGCCTGTCTATTGTGGTTATGAAAGTGGGGGTCCGTGTCCATCCTAAATCATAAGCAAATATGGGACAAACAGGAGACAGGCAGTAAAATATTTCAGATTCCTTTCAGCTGTCTGCAAAAATTTTCACCAAACTACTTAGGATCTTTTCAAGGAAGTTCTCACAAGTGGCAGAAGTGATATGCCTTAAAGAAATAAACGCACTTAGCAGAGATGTTTCAGGCCCAGGGCAGGCTAAACCCTGAGACCAGTATCCTCAGTGTTTAGAGAGAGAAAGAGGTCAGGCAGGGCAGAAAGGAGGGCTCCGAGCTGGTCAGAACTCCCCCTGGAGCAGCCCTTGGTGGGAGCCTTGGGAGCCAGGCAGGAAGGACAGAGAGGTCCTGAGCAGCCGTCCTGCAGATGGTACATTGACTTTGGGTCAGGAATGGGTGCCGGGGTCTGCAGGGCCCACAGGCACGTGGAGCAGTTTGGCTGAGAAGCAATTTACCAGCCCATACCAAATGTATCTCAAGGTTTGGGGGAGCAGGGTGGCTCTGCTGACTGCCACTGGCTGGACCAGAGCAGATGGGGCCAGCCAGGGGCAATGTGATGGTCAGAAACTCAGCAGGCCACGGCAGGGCAGGGGAAGGCCCAGGTCCATACTTAGCAGGAGTCGTCTTTTCCGCATTTCCTCTGCTGGCCTGAGTGCCATAAATTGAATTGCATGGAACACAGGAAGCACTGATGGTTCCCAGCTGAATCCTGGAGAAGACGGGGGGCCCCACAGAACAGTTAACTCAAACCCTCTTTCCCCGATGCACCAGTAGGTGTGCAGGAGGAAGAGCTGATGATTAGATAAGTATGCAGAGAGCCAAGCCCCAAGCGTATCCTACATTGTCTTCATCGGTAAGGGAACATTTTGTTTTGCTCACAGACTGTTGAGTCTCTAGAACTCTGCAGTCCAGTGTGGAAGCCACCGACCCTGGATGACTTTTTAAACAGTGAAAATGATGGGAAAACGCTTCAGTTCCTCTGTCACCCCAGACTCATTCCAATCACTCGAGAGCCTCATGGAGCTTGTGACCAGGGAGGTGAACATCCTTCCTTACAGGAAGAGAAAGATTCACCGAACCACCCTATGCCAGACAAGTTTCCATGGTAACATGTCAACTCCCTCTGGTCCAGCCCGTTAGTGAGAAATCTCTCCTTGTGCTTCTTCTGAGAGGAGGAGCCTGCTTGGAATGACTTATATCACCATTCGGAGCTAAAACTGCCCTCTTCAAAGTCCACAGAAATGGTGCAGAAGATGCAGAATAATTTGGACTAAGTAATAAGAAATATCTCTGAACAAAAAAAACATGTTAGAGACTTTAGAAATTTTACTGTCAGGGAACCTCTCCAAATTCAGTAAATTAATAAAAACAACAGAGATCTCTAAATACAGTATTCCCTTCTTATTCACTGGGAATATGTTTCAAGACCCCTGTGGATGCATAAAACCCCAGAGAGTACCAAATCCTACTGTTGTTACTTTTAAAGACAGGGTCTCACTCAATTGCCCAGGCTGGGCTGGAACTTGTGATCCTCCTGCCTCAGCCTCCCAGAGCACTGGAATTGTGAGTGTGTGCCACTACACTGGCTAATACCAAGCCCTGTTATTCCTACACACCTAGGACACATTTTACTTTATAAGTTAGACAGTGTCTTAGGTAGGCTTCTGTCACCGAGCACACACAACTCAAAGGAGGAGAGGTTTATTTTGGCTCATGGTTTCAGTTCTTGGCTGGCTCTGGGGCAGAAACAGTATGGGAGAGGGGTCTGGGGAGGAAAATATGCCAAACATAGAGCAGCCAGGAAGCAGAGAGAGAAAAAGGAGCTGGGCAAGGAGATGCAGCCTTCCAGGCCACACCCACAGGGACCTGTGTCTTCTATGACTTCCCAGACCCCTGTCCTAATAGCAGTCAGCCATGGATTTATGGGAGGGTGAATCCACTGATGAGATTAGCCCCCCAATGTCCAATCAGTCACCTCGCAAGTCCCAACTCAGACTTGTGGGGACGTTCCAAGTCTAAAGCCTAATACAGAGTAGGGGATAACAGTAATAATTAAACGGAACAATCATAGGTAGATAATAAAGCTACTAACACCACTATGTGCTTTGTGCTTTGCGGCCATTATTAAGTAATAACGTTCGTTCTGCAGACATAAACTCTGCCACACTCAAGGAGCAACGGATAAGCAGCGCCGCCATGGAACCAGTGATCAGAGGGGGCAATGGGACGGTGTCTTCCTAACTCCAAACCATGAGCAGTGTCCGGAGCCTGTCTAACCTCTCAGACCGTGGGAGGCGGTGAGGAGTGGAAACCCGGAGCAGCTGTGGAGGAGGGAGGTGACTGGCCTGGAGGTGGGCGTGGAGCCTCCTGGAGGCCTGGGGTCACGGAGGGGCTGGGGCTTTGCTTAACAAAGGGCATCTGATGTTCTGCTGAGAGGGTGGATGCGATTTCAAAGCAATGCATGTCTTAAAACTGCAATTTTTCAAAAACAATGTTCAATATTTACCATAAAGAAATGTTATCGTATAAATATGGTTTTTAATTTCAAGAACATTTCATTTTTTTCAAGCCTTCAAGCCATGGTTACTTAATTATGCAAGAATGCTAATTAAGCCCACAGGGAGGAGAGATCTGATACTTAGTTGTGTGCTTGTACATTACGCAAGGAAACCATTGATTGCACTCCCACATTAACGTTATTTGCTTTATGCACTGAAGATGGCATTTAATGTATTGGCTGGATGGCACAGCATTCCATTTAATGAAGTCAAATGAGGGCTACATCTTCAATTTTCTGAGCCTAACGATCAAACAGAAGCAGCCTAGATAATCCAGCCTTGGAAGAGCCCAGGAAAGGAGGAACAAGAAAAGCCAGTGGAGAATAATGATCTACGCTAGAGGTAACTGATCTTTTTATTTGACTGTTTGATTAGAGCAGGCCCGAGGCGGGGAGCTCCCTTATTGTGTTTACAAACAATTCCCGCCTCTCTGGTGGCCATCCAGTGTAGAAGCCGAGGGTGGGAGTGCTCGGCCCCACTCCCACATCCCCACACCGCTCCTCTCTGCACTTCGGCGCATCGGGGACAGCCCTCGGTGCCCAGCAGTGGTCTCCGTGGCTGATGCCCAGGCTGGAATCTCCCCGAGTGGTGGTAGGCAACTTCCCAGGAGCCGGTGCGTGTGACCACCTGGAGGTGGGGCTGGGTGGAACCCCAGGAAAGACTGAAGAGACCGGGGTGGGAGAGCGGGGCCTGCATTTACAAGGGAGTGCGAGGAACTCAGCTGGGGAAGGGCAGACCTCTACAAGCCGAGCAAGAAGCCTCCTTTGCGTGTTTTCAAGCGCCCACCCGAAGAGCGTCCTCGGTACCTGGACATTCAGAGTCCCAGCCTGGGTTCGTGCCTGCAGGGCCCGCAGGTAGCTGGCTGGGTATCAGGGCAGCTGAGGTGTCTGGAGTTCTGAGTCAGGACAGAAGGAAAAGGTGGGGACAGGGGTCAGGGCCTACAGGTGCCGCAGTGAGCAACTGCAGGACGGAGTAAGCAGGTGTCTGTGCAGCAACAGTGCTCGGTCCTAGTGCAACCAGGGGGCCTTCATAGGCTGGCTTGAAGGCAGACACGTGGCGGGCAGAGTTCTGGGTGTGAATTCCAAGCCCCACATAGAAGAGATTGCTCCCTGCAGAGAGGCGGGAGCCGGGACGCTGCGGGGTCTCTCTGAGCTGAGCTGAGGTGGACTTGACAGGAGGAGCAGCTGCGCAGTACAAGAGGGCAGCGAAGGGAGGCTTGGACAGCCTGGAGCTTCATGCACACAGTGAAGAAGGAGGGAACGGAGTGGTCAGGGGATCCACCTGACACCCCCAGTGGACAGACCACAGACACGTGGCCCTCCGATGCACCCTTCCCTCTAGATGCCACACGTGCTGCCCAGAAAGTTTAGCTTATACATTAAGCATGCTAAGAGCTTAACAACAGCAAATACAGTAAAATAAAGAAAAGCTTCGGACAGTGGCCCTGTAATGCCAGCAGTCTGGGAGGCTGAGGCAGTCGGATCTCAAGTTCAAGCCCAGCCTGACTCAGGGAGTCCCTGTCTCAAAAGTTAAAAAACAGAAAAGATGCTATGAATGTAGGTCAGTATGAAGGCCCCGAGTTCAATCCCCAGTACCACAAAAATAAGTAATTAAATAGATAGACAAACAGGTAAGTCTACTGTAATAACACTTATAAGAACGCACTCTCCAGGTCTGTCTGTCTTGCTCTCGAGACATCCTGCTGTCCTCACTGCACTTCTGGACCACAATGGACCACAGAGCTGATGTGCAGAAGATGAGGCTGTGAAAGAGGGGCCACTGCACCCCCCTGAAGGAAGAGACCGAGTACTTACCATTGCAGAGGGCTCTGTGGATGGAACCCTTCTTTCCTGGCCAGGATCAAAGCCTTTCTAGGTGGCAGGTGGCACCTCCTTGGTTATGGCCCTGTCTGCCCCCAAGCACAGATATGCTCACCAGGGACTGGAGCTCCTTGTAGCCTGGCGGACAGGATCATAGCAAGCGCCCCAGAAGAGCTTGTGGGCAATGGAATGTGTCAGTATGGAACCCTTTGCATCCTGAATACTTACAGGAAGAAAAGAAAATCACCATGTCCAACTGTTCCTTTCCATTGGGTCATTAAGTTACATATGTTGGCACATCTGTCATCCTGGCATTCTGGGAGGCTGAGGCAGGAGGATTGCAAGCTCTAGCACAGACTGGGCCATTTAGTGACTTAGGGGACCCTGTCTCAACATGACAGATGTAGCTCAGTGCTGAGGCCCTGAGTCCATTCCCCAATACTGTAAAATTAAAAAGAAAAATGAAAAGTGTCCAGTGGACACTACAAAGGAAAAATGAGTAGCTAGAATGGCACAGGAAGAAGTTCTGGGAGTGGGGAAGCACGGGGAACAGCCTGGGCTTCCTGAAGAGCCACCCCACTCTCTAAGTCTGTTTGCTTAAAAATGCTAGGATCTTTTCTTGGAGGAGCAGGTGCCGAAGACTGAACCTGAGCTACATTCCTAGACCCCTTTTAAATTTTAAATTATGCATACATTTTTTTAAAGATTTTTGAGACAGAGTCTCAGTCACTAAGTTGCACAGCCTGGCCTTGAATATGAGATTCTCCTGCCTCAGCTTCCCAAAATGCTACAATTTCATGGACTTCTACGCTATAGCCTGAATCGAGAGAAGAAAATGCAGAGGAGCACCACATCTGTCTTGTTCTTGATTTCACACACTCGCAACCTTCCCGTACTAGTGGCTTAGCTCTGACTTTGGCATTGACCAGTTCAACAGAAATTTCTGATTCCAGCCTGTGGAGAGCCCTTGGGAGGGGTGTGAAGCAGGATAATGAGGGTGGATGGGATCAAAATGTATTCTGCTAATGGAAGCACGATATTTTGTGAAATCAATGGGCGCTGATCATCAAAGGAGAGAATAGAGTGCCCTGGGGCATTGGGCTTCCTGTCCACAGCCGCTTTGACTGATGTTGCCAAGTGTAGATGGTGTAGCTGTTCCTTCCTGGTTTTCCTCTGGCTTTTACCTGGCACTTGAAGGTGAAATACTTTGCAGAACATTGTGTACAAATATCCCCATTTTGTTGCAAATACAGCACAGCTATTCCACTGGCCTGGTGATGTCCCCAGCATTTGGGTCCAGGTGGTTCCGGCTGGGCCTCACTGCTGATATGTGTTTGCTTCTCAAAAGTTTTGAAGTTTGAATCAATTTCATGATTTAAAAACACGCTATGCAGTCAAACAAAAAAAGGGTAGTTAGATAAAAGGAACTGAACAAATTAAATCTGAAAGTAAAAGGAAACGATTTTTTTTTCACATCTTTCTTTTAGTTAATGCCTACTGGTTAGAGAGCTTAATAGGTTTCTCTTGGCAAACTCCTGTCCACATAGCGTACTGTAATCCCTTCCCTCCATCAGCCCCTTGCCCCACCTGCCCCCCAGTCTTACATTTTGGGGGCTCCACTTCACAGAATATATCCACGAATTATACATCCCATCTTTCTCTGGGTTCCCAGAAGGGCCTCAGGCCAGCCTTGTGTCCAGGTCAGCTACATCTGCAATTCTGGGTTTTTAGAAAACTGACTTCTTCAGCTACTCCATGCTGTGAGGACTCAGAGGCCCTGTGTCACGTACCAGCCTCCCCTCCTTCTCAGCATGGCCCTGAGTACCCACAGGACAAGGGCTGGAGTGACCACCAGGGAGGAGACCCTCGGTGGAGACAGACACTGGAGAATGAGGACTTAGACCCAACAAGAGCTTCCCAAGAAATGGCTCTACCTTTCAAGAATATGAGTGAGATTTAGTATGAAAGATCAGAACCCACTGACTCAGAAAAAGCTGTTGTCTTTAATTTGCATTTTTAGTAGACATTTGCAGCGCACAATGGTCACATTCATTGCGGGGGTTCGCACGTGCACATAGCGTGTTTTAGTTCCTTTGACTTCCCCTTCCTCTCCTCTGTTACCCCTTCCTCTAACTCTTGTTCCCACTTTTCTTCACAGAACAAAAGGTGTTTGAACTGGAGATGGTGGGCATGCCTGTGGCCCCAGTGCTCTGGAGGCTGAGGTTGAAGGATTGAGAAGCCCAGCCTGGGTCACAGAAGAGTTCAAGGCCCACCTGGACTGTGTAGTAGACTCCCAAGAAAACAAATAAGAGAAAACACATTGTTTTGTAATAAACAATTTAAAGAAACAGCTTTCACAAAGTGCAGAGTGCCACTCATCACAGGCCTCTTAGTAAACCCTAGAATGTGTCTGTCTTCCGAACAATTGTTAATGCAAGCTTCCATTTCATTGTAGAGTCCAGCTAACATCATGATATGTTGTGTTTTAGTCTAAGGACACTGCTGTAGCTTGTATCTAGATGTGCCCTCAAAACTCATATGCTCGTAGGTGGGTCTTATCAGAGCTGGCTGGATCTAAGGGCCTGTGGTACTAAATTAATCTACTGATTGGTTTAGCATATTTATGGGTGTGGTTAACAGGAAGGCCCACTCTGGGTGTGGGTGGCACCACCCCAAATGCCTGTAACTTTATGGGATAAAAGGGAAAGGGAAGCTCCCTACTGTTTCTGCTGTTTCATGCCTACCCTGCCATGGACTGTTTCTTCTCTGTGTTGCCACCCTGCTTTGGAGCCAGCCGACTATGAATTGAAGCCTCAAAAACCGTGAGCCAAAATAAACCTTCCTCCTTTCACTTTGAGTGTTGGGCATTTTGTCTCAGCAATGAGAGTAGTGACTAAGGCAGTTACAAAAGGACAAAGCTGTTGGAGCACAAAAATCCAAGACCCACAAATGTGATGCACAAGCCATGCACAAGATGCCAGCGCTCACTGTAACTATGGTTTAGTTGACATAGCACAGAGTTTAGAAATAGCCAATTATTTCCTCCTCAAGGGAACCCCTTTTTGCAGATGAGAAAGCAGTATTTATAACTTACACAAGCTATTCCAGATAATGAAAACTGGCAGAAATGCCATTCCAGCCACAAAAAGCTGCCTCCAAGACCAGACTCCATGTTTATACCTTTCTAGCTCTCCAAATTCTCTCCTAAAAAGCCTGTGCATCCACAAGTAAGCTATACATAAAATAAAGCCCTCTCATCATGTTCGGGTGGCATGTGGTGAGAAATCTTCTAAGAGATATGTACAACTGATATCCAAGCCAGGCAGCAAAACAAGCTTTGGTAAAGCTATCACCATGAAAGGCTTGGGAATTATTGGCTGGAATTGTAACTATAGCAGGAGTCTACTAATGGAACATTTTTTGCTGTGTATTGGTTGCTACAAACTGTATTCTTCATGGTAGGAACAGGGAGGAGGTGGGAGGGAAGGAAAGGGGAGGGGTTGGGGGAAAGTTGATCACTGGCTTATTTTGTAAGCAGAAATGAAATGGAAAGACAGATCCAAAACTCTGAAGTTTTACAAGGGGGTAAACTGAGTGTTTATGCAGCTCAAATGTTAAGGAGACAGGGATCCGAGGAAAGTCCCAGGAACCAAGGTGAAACAGTAGTAAAGACAAGGACACCCTCTCTTCCTGCTATAGGTGGCTCCACTCAGTCTGGATTAGCTTTAGAGAAAGGGCTGAGATCAAGGGAGAAAAGTCGGGGAATGATTGTCGGTACAGAGCTGGCTGGAAATAACCCATTTCCCTAGTTCTCAAATCATTTTTTTCTGAATTTTTTGTGGGAGGCAGCACTGGGCATTGAACCCAGGGAGGTAGGAGAGAGTTACATCCTCAGCCCTTTTCCGCTTTTGATTTGAGACACTAAGTCACTATTAAGTCACGATTCTGGGCTCTGATTGATAACCCTCCTGCCTCGGCCTCCCAAGTGCCGGCGTTATAGGTTTGGCCCCATTCACCCATCTCTACATACATTTTTATATATGCCTCCCTTTATTTTGGAAACCACAGAACTTGTACCTGGGCAAGTCTGGATACCAGTTTCTTTGCATTGTTTATTTTTCCCCTTTTAAAATTGTCTACTGTCCAAGACAGTATTTTCCTTGGATCCCACGATCCAGTTACTTTTCTCCTTCTGGCTGGGCACAGTTCATGCATACGCACACATGAAACAACACACATAGAGCTGTTTCCATTTTCTCCCTCCGAGATCTTGGGCTCACAGGACTCACTATTGTGTTTGGCCTTCACTTGTTGGCGCTGTTACCCCTCAGTGGTGGGAAACTTCTCCTACTGGTGATGTTTCGCTTCCTTCCTGCTCAGTGTTATTGACTCTGGCTTTTGAAATTTTAATCACCGCGTTTCTCACCTGAAAATCATCTTTCCTCATTTCTGATTGTTCTCATTGGATAGCACCAGATCCCCGCCCCCCGCTGAAGAATGTGGATGAAAGGCTTTCAGAATTTTTTCCTCTGGGGATGGTCTAACACAGCAGCATTAGGCTCGGTGCTCAGCACTAAGTGCTCCTTTTCATTGCTTTTGTTTCCTGACTTTTAGCTAGGAGTCTGTCATCACTCTATCCAGTAATGGGGTTTGACCTTTTCAGCTCATCCTCTATTTCTTGAGGTCTCCTGTTACCTCGCCATGTCTCCTTGTCTACCCTTCAGGACTCTGCCTGGTGCAGCTAATGGCAGCAGGGTCTCGTTCCTCTCTTGCCAGCACTGCAGGTGCAAGGATGTTGGTGCTGATGGCCAGGAAGTGTGAGCTCCCTAGCAAAAAAACGCACACTCGCCTCTGCTTATGGCCTCAGCTTGTGAGTGCAGTTTGTGCACTGAAGTCCTGTGTGCCTCCCCGCTCCACGGACCACGACCTCTTTCCTAAGCTGCACCACAGCATTCACTAGCCCAAGTCCACACAGCCGAAGTCCACACCTCTGTCCACTGCTTCCTCCAGAAAGCCAGGAGCTTTGGAGGTGAAGAACATACACTGGTGGTCTTGGGGAAGGGTGGGTGCAGCCATGGCGAATGGAAGGAGATCAAGGCATTGGGGATTTCTCCCCAGCACCCTGTGCTACAGGAGGGCACGCAGAGGATGTGACCAACTGGGGAGGTGCCCTCCTGGCCTCAGGCCGCCTGAGCCTCGCTGTCTCTCTGCCATGGAGCTTCCTGTTGTGGTGGTTTCTTCCCTGCTCCTCTGACACTGACACTGACCCACCTGCTCGAGAAATCACAGATCAACAGAGGTGAATTGTGTGAGTCCCAACTTGCTAAATTCTTGGTTCTGTGACCCGAAGCAAGTTGTTCACTCCTCCTCTGCATCTGTGGGGCACCAGTGCTAAATGGGATGTTCTGTGAGGGGTCTGATTCTTGGCAGCTCTTGCCCGTGTGCTTGGGCCCAGCTATTTTGAGATTCCTCTCCTCTCTCCTGAGCAGCTGTCTGTGGTGGTGGTGTCGGGGAGGGACCACCCTTTAAGACCCCAGCATTTCTAGCCAGGCCCAGTGCCTTGTCACCCCAGTATTCTGTCATCCCAGCACTCTGGGAGGCTGAAGCAGGAGGGTCAGAAGCTCATGCCCAGCCTGGGCAATTTGCAGTTCAGTGAGAATCTGCCTCAAAATGAAAAACAAATTTTAAAAAAGATAAGGAAGGAAAATGGGCTGGGCATGTAGCTCCGTGTAAAGGCCCTAGATTCAGTCTCCAGTGCCAAAACAAACAAAAGTAATCTGCCCAGCCTTCCTCATTGTTGTGAGGCATGGGCACAGTCTCTTATTAGGTATGACAACTGGAACTCAAGAAGGCGCATTCACTAGCTGAAGCCCATGCAGCTAGTGTCTGTCAGCACTGGATTCTGATTGGGAACCAATCTGAGACCAAGATCTCTTGTGCTTCTGTGTTTCCTTTTGCTCAAATCACAAAGGCAGGAAGATTTGATTAAACAAGGCGTTCATGATACAGCTCTAAGCTGTACTTTTCTGCTTCCTCCATGGGCCCTGAAGCATGAAAACAGTTTGCTCAATCGAGCCTAAGCAAAAGGGGCCCAGAGCCCACTCACAGGCCAGAGAGATCAGAAAGCCCTAGCTCCAGCACGGTGGTGAAGTCTGTGTCCTAGCTCCGTTCGCAGACCCACAGATGGAGGGGTCTGGATCACAGGCCAGCAGTCTCAGGGAGGAAGTGACCTAGCAGATGTGGGAGCGAGGACAGAGGCTACCCTGCCCCTGCTGGCATTAAGAGGTGTGGGTCACGGAGCAGTTTTTAAAAATGAATCTCACTCAGCAGCCACAGACCTTTTAAATCTAAGTACAGCATGTGCTTCAAAATTTAAACTGATGGCACCCAGGTAATCATGGGTCATTTTGCTGATGACTCAGGACTCCAGAGCCCCATGATGCAGTATCTCCTTGTTCAAAGAGGAAGAGCTTCCTTCCAGGGTCACATCTGCTGCCAGGGCTTGGTATGCCAGAGAGAGCCTTTCTAGGAGGCCATCAAGATGCGAACGGTCTCTAAACTCCAACTTATTTTATGTTTCACTTCAGCAGGCCAGAATCATCAATTTCTTTTTTCCTGTTCGACAACACTGGTCACCAAGGCAGATAAACACTAAATCAGCAGATGATTGCTCTGCAGAATGAACTTATACAGAAGCCTACAAGTAAATGCCTTCATGATTTTCTAAATTCTTTTTAGAGGGTCCATTCAAAATGTAGAAAACACATTTTCTTTGCAAAAAATAAATACAAGTTTCATTTCCAAAAAGAGTTAAATACAAAGAATGTTTTCTCATACATTCCCACGCAGAACAATGAACAAATTAAAACAGAGTGATTCTACTCCAAAAGGGATATTTCAAAATTCATTTTAGGATCCAGGATCTTTTGCACTGCCTAGGAATGAGCTATTTTTAGCCTAAACATAAGACTTCTATTTAGAGGCTGAAATCAGCTGATGTGGTCTTATTTATGGTCTGACCCCACTGAGAGGTAAAATCTGTTCACTCCTGGACTCAAGGGCAAAAATTCTAAGTTAGTCTCTAAATATAAGGGGAGGGGGTGACCCAAATTAGCATTTACTTGGAGTTTTCAGGCCTCCAGGAGATTTGTCATTCTTAAAGATTTTAAATCTTGAATCATGCAGATTCAATTAAAAAGAAATAAAAAAATAAAAGAATTAAAAAAATATGGCTTTTAATTCGGTAGTTAAATTCTGTTTGAAATG